TTATAAATAATTATAATTAAAAAAAAATCTTTAAATCTAAATAAATTAGAATTCTAATAAAAATTAATATATACTTAAGAGTTATTAGAAATAAAAAAGTAATTAAAATAATTTTAAATTTATTATTAATTATAATATATTTATTTCTAATTTATGATTATTTGTATTATTTTAGTTATATAAGATTCAGATTTAAATTCAGATTTAGATTTAGATTTATAAAAGAATTTAGATTTATTAATTAAAATTAAAATATACTTTATATTTTAGTTTAAACTCTGTATAATTTCGAAATTTATATTTAAAATGAATATAATAATACAATAAATAATATTTAGATCTTAGATATTTATAGCTACGCAGTACGAGTGAAGGTGGAGGCCTATTTAGGCCTCATAGGCCCTGAAAGGGCCGGAGCCAAGCTCGTATATATACAATTTCAAGTTATGTTGTATATCTACAAATCCATTTACAAGTATTATCCCAAAACTATATTGATGGTAACCGGAACATGATTCTTATTAATACCCGTCAAAAGAGATATTATCCTATCACTCCATTACCGTACTCTATTAATCCGTATACTCCTCCTTCTTCCTCATACTCCTCACACTGATTTCCTTAACCACCAGATCTCAATTAAAACTCCAATACTCCATATTCATGCATTTCTCTGTCTATTCGTTCATCCATCCTAACCATCAATAACCATCAACCTTCACCATCACCATAATCTAACACATCAATACCATTCATTATCAACACCCCGTTATCAATCAACACCTCAGCACATCAATCCCATCCATTATCCACACCCCCTTTACATTTACATTTACATCTACATACCCAATACCCAATCCACATTACCCAATCTACCTTACCCATTCTATAATATCATTATTATATACGCTCTACAATCAAGTATTCACCTCACTAACTAACTAATTAACCAACTGACCAATTAACTAATTACATAATCAAATTCAATGATATACAGTAGTACTCGAGTAGTGATACAATTTCTTATACCATAACATCCACTCACTTACTCACTCACCAACCAACTTACCTGATATCACAACTAGTATTAGATTAGATAAGATAAGATTAGATCAATACTCGAGTACTGTGCCTGCCTTGCCTATCAGCCGACCGGTAGATGCCTCTTAAACAGTACTCGAGTAGATTCGCATAGATTGGTAGAGGTAATGAATGACCTAGTCAGGCCCTACAGTATAAATTTGCTTGGGGTGATAGATAGATGGAGATAGGTAGGTAGGTGCATATTATATATATTCTCAATGCAAAATACTGATTTATATTACTGAGTATATGCAAGGGAAATATCATACATAGTGTGGAATCGTTCATTCATTTATTGATTCATTCATTCATTCATGATCCACGTTAATCATCACCATCATCATAATAAAAGCACCCACTTATCTCCACAACTCCCCTCCAGGCTCCATCATAAAACCCAAAGAATCCAAAGAATCCAATCCATCACCAACATCTACCCTTCCCACCTAATACAACTAATAATGACCCTCCAAAGACAACGTCCCCGTCTTCGTAATCAGATACTCATCAACCGCGACATCCTTCCCGCTCTCTTTTCCATAACCCGATTCTTTGATTCCTCCAAATGGTGATTCGGCTGCTGATGCATTGCCTACATTGTGATGAAATCAGTTTAGTGTACAACTCCAACTCCGAAGTTGTGATTAGTGATAGAGGACTGGATGGGAAGGATACTGTACCTGTATTCATACCAATCATACCCGCTTCTAGATTCTCGAGAAGTCGCCATGTGCGATCGATGTTTTTGGTGAAGAAGTAGGATGCTAATCCCATCTATGACAGTCATGTTAGTACTCGACTTCATATCACTCTCTGGACTGCGAAAATACATAGAACTTACACTAGTATTATTCGCCGCCTCCACCGCTTCATCCTCCGTTTCAAAAGAATATAACGCCAATACCGGTGCGAAAGTTTCTTCCTGCGTAATCAACATTTCTTTCTTGGCACCCAAAATAATCGTCGGTTCGAAGAAATATCCAGTGGTATCTTGGACTTTGCCACCTCCGAGTACGATTTTTCCACCGTGTTTGACGGCGTCTTCTACTTGGTTTGTGGCTTTTTCAATACTTCGAGGGGTGGTGAGAGGTCCGATTGTGGTTCCATTCTCGGCTCCGTGGCCAAGTTTAAGTTTGGAGGTCTTTTCTTTGATGAGGAAGGCGAATGAGTCGTAGACGCCGGATTGGACGTAGACACGGTTGGCGGTTATGCAGGCTTGACCGGCGTGACGCCATTTTAATGCCATAAGGGCTAGGTGAGTTAGTAAGTTGTCCATTGAGATGTTTGGTGGCATGGAAATCATGCAGGTTCGCAAGTGTAGCTCATTCAAACAGGGAAGTACGCTACGTACCATCAGTGGCTTGATTCAGGTCTGCATCATCAAATACAATGAAAGGACAATTGCCTCCAAGTTCCAAAGTTACCTTTTTCAATCCATCGGAGCACAACTTTGCCACGAGTTTACCAACTCTTGTCTAATAAGTCCGTTGTTAGCATCAACTATCTTTTCTGAGATATATGATTAAATTCTTACCGAACCAGTGAAGGTCACTTTCTTGATCAACGGATGACGACACAATGCCTCACTCAACAGTGGTGTATTATCTAAACTCGTGGTTAAGACACTGAAGACACCTTTTGGAAATCCTGCTTGTTCGGCAAGCATTGCCAGAGATAACACAGAAAGAGGAGTTTCTGGCGAAGGTTTCACAATCATACAACAGCCGGCCGCAAGTGCTGCTCCAGCCTTTCGCAGAATCATTCTAGTGATTGTTAGGCAGGAAATTGGGCTGACTGAGATTACCTACGCAATTGGGAAATTCCATGGGACAAGCGCGGCAGCTACACCGATTGGTTGTTTCACAGTGAAGACTCTCCTACCTGGTGCTGAGGGAGTCTGATTTAGGATGCGAGTTAGCGATCTTTGAACACAATAATTATGATGAGGAATGTGGGAAGTCTCCAGCGAAAGTATGCAAATACATGTATTGAAAGATCCGCTCTGCAGTAAACAACAAGATTCATGACAAATACGCACCTGAATCGTCCCCGTAATCCTCTCCGCCTCCCCAGCAAACCACCACGTAAACCCCAATGCATAATCCAATTCCCCTATACTCTCCGCGATAGGTTTCCCCGTCTCATAAGTAACAATCTTAGCCAGATCCTCCTTATTTTCCCTAATTAAAGAATCCCATTTCAAAAGCCACTGAGCACGTGTTCTGGGATTCACTTTCTTGAAAGATTGAAAGGCCGTGTGAGCAGCTTGCACTGCGGCATCTACATCGGATGCATCATTGTCGGGTGCTGTGGCCCATACTTGACCATTTCCAGGATCTTGAATGTGTACAAGTTAGATATGGACGGAATGAAGTTGAAGTGATGTTTAATAAAGGAGTCAGAACCTATAACGTCGAAGCGCTTGCCAGATTTCGCTTCTACCCATTCTCCATTGACATAGGATTTGTCATGGAAAAGGAATGTATTTTTGAGCTAAAACGCGGGTAGTTAGCGTTGCGAACTACATAAGGGGTATTTTCGAAATTGTTTGAAAGACTTGTACATCAAATGGAAGTTTGATTGAACTCATGATGAAACTTTTGGACGATTATATTGATGTTTAAAGTGAAGAACGAAACAATGATTGGAATTGCCGAAGAAAGATTTCTTTAACATGTAAAAGATGTCTCTCTTCGCAGATAAAGAGATAAAGTGATGTGATTTAGAGTAGGATGGGTTGCACAAGGCGGGGTTTATCCCTCGTGGCAGGTAGCTGGACCGAGGAAAGACTTGATCCTTCGGGACTGATGCACGTGACCCATCTGCTCGGACAATCTATCTCTACATCTCAACTTGACGTTTCCATATGTGGTCGGACGAACTGATGTCTGCGATTTCAATGATGTGACATGAAAAGTTCTCTCCTGATTCCTTGCGAGCTCAAAAGTTATATGGATACTAGTTATCCAAAGCTATGAAGAACAGAAATGCTACAATCAAAACTTCACGTGCTCCACTTCCCCAGACCCCTGTTTCTTATCATTTCCCAACCTCGGCAGCCAGAGCTCCACGAGATTGTCGATCTCGGGGTCAACTACTCAACTAGATGGTGTTACCACAGTCCCGATAACTTGATATTTATATTTGGTATATCGAAATCTTTACCTATCCTATCCCATCATACCACTTGGTTTATTTGCTCCGTCATCACTACTCTACACTCCATATTGAATATCGCCTACAGAACCACAATGTCAAAGATTCTTGCCGCCCCTTTTAATCCCAAACTTACGGGTGCCCTTCTCGTGGCACTGTTGTACTACCCTCACAAGTTACGATCTATCGTACCGACCAGTATTCAACCATATATTACTTCTCCGTCCTTCGTTCGAGCATTGAAGGCTTTACTCGTATTTGGTGTTCTGAAAGGTGTCAATCATAAGTTATCTCAGCTGGTAATGAATAATTGGAAGAGCCATGCGAAGTTTATCAAAAGTCAGGAGTTAGTGTTGATCACGGGTGGATCGAGTGGAATTGGGGAAATAATGGCAAGAGACTTTTCATCCAAGGGAGTTAAGGTTGTGGTGATGGATTTGAATCCTCCCAAGAATCCATTTCGTGAGTCTACTCTCGTCGAAAATGTGTGATGATGATACTGACGATCATAAAGCATCAAATGTATTTTATTACCAAGTAGATGTAACATCATCATCTCAAATTTCCTCTGCCGCTTCCGAAATTCGAAAAGGTCAAGGAGATCCTACCGTACTCATTAATAATGCAGGACTGGGTTATCTCCAACCTATCTTGGAAGGAACCGAAGCACACATTCGAAGAACCTTTGAAGTTAATACCATATCCCATTTTCTGATGGCGAGAGAATTTCTTCCAGCAATGATCAAGAAGAATCATGGTCACGTCGTGACGATCGCAAGTATGGCAAGTTATCTAGTTCACGCGGCCAATGTAGATTATGCATGCTCGAAAGCGAGTGCTCTCGCCTTTCATGAAGGACTCGCATCAGAATTGCGAGTCCGATACAACGCACCCAACATTCGAACCACGTAAGTCCACAACCTCTCCAACTCCGATTTTGCCACCGGTATCCCCAGCCGTACTCACCAAAAGTAATAGACTTGTCAATCCATCCTGGATCCGCACTCCACTAATCGAAGATCTCATCGCCCAACCCACCTTCAAAGATACAGTTCTCGCACCCGAAACCGTCACCAACGCCATCATCAACCAAGTATTCTCGGGGAGAAGTGGCCATATCGTTCTACCCAACCAATTATATATCCTGAGTACGTTACGCGCATGGCCATGGTGGCTACAAACCTCGCTTCGAAATATGATAGCTCCAGCATTACTCTTTGAAAAACCCTCTCCGCAGCGTGAGCACGCTGGGCAAACAGGAGGTTGTGGCGACAATGGCAGCCACGTAAATATTTGAACGGTCCTGCTTTTTTCCGAGTGATGTTTTGTACAAGTCCAGGTTGTTTTTTCTCGGGAGTTTTTGTATGTTGTTGTAGGTTACTCGGCGTCATCGTGGCCACTGTGGCGAAGAAAATATGAGTGAGTTCTTAGAGGCTGCTTTATTGATAGAAGCAATCGGAGAGGCAACTAACAGACCATAGGTTTTCAATATATTTGTTTAGTATATTGCAATTGTCCAGGCAAACATGGCGATCCAATACAATACCCGGTATGATCATTTAAGACATATGAAATGCACTCATCTACAAACGAACAATCCAAAAAGTAAGTTTTGCATATACTCTATAGAGATATGCGAAAGGACAAATTCAAAGTATATATATATTGCCAGTTATATATAGATAGAAGAGAGAAATAGTAGTTCCAATTATTACAAGCCTGTAATGTCTATATATAATAATATAATCATCTGTAATCATCAAAGCAAAACGTTTTTTCTTGCCCTATTTGTCTCTTTGACTTTGATAGAAAATATATCTATAGTAAATAGTATATATCATCAATATCATTCTGTTATAGGTATCATATCACATCAAAGGTAGATAACAATTGCAAAACCAATTCCTAATATCCCTATCAAAATTCAAACCATCAAATCCTCAAATCCATCCTCAAACCATTATCAAATCATCAATTTAATTTTCTGCGCGGCAAAAGCGGTACATATATACCTAATATCAGTACTTGTACAACTCACTACATCAATATTGCAGTAGTGAAATAGTGAAACTCAACAACTTATTTCCTGCGGCTGAAGATTGGAATTGTCTAGTCCTATTTAGTTGATAGTCTTTGTACCAACCAATATCAATATAAACATCAAACATCAATCGAAACTCTACGCCTATCGCGGGTTTTGTTTTCTGGAGTATACCAGGGTACTGTACATTTATTTTTTGGTTTGGTTTGGCTGGGTGCCAGGGGTGGATTGGATATGTGGGCTGGGCAATGGCTTGAAGTGGCTCGAGTGGCTTGATTGGCTTGATACATGAATCTTTCCTTTGCTCTTTTCTTTCGCAAGGCTTGCTCCACTGTTCACGATCGAGAGAATAGAAGCGTATATGGACTCTGAAGTCTGGAGTCTGGAGTATAGGAGTATTATGGCAATTTCACAGTATATCAATGATCCGAGAAACCAAACCTAGGAAATCGTTTTTGTTTGCCGAGTTTGTCTTATTTTATATTGTATATATTGTATAATTATTGATTTAATATATTAAGCAAGCAATATGGTTTATACAAGTAATGCAATGCAGATCAATTATCTATCATTAGTCAAAGACCTAATGCCAGTACCGGTACCGGTACATATCTCCCCTTATTTCCCCTCCTCAAGATCTAGATTCTAATCCCCGAAGTTCCTGATCTAAATAAAAACCATATGGTGCATACAATACTACATGAATCATTTCTATTTGTATATTTCTATATACAGATAGATACATGCATTGTATTGTCAGAGAGGATAGATGAAATGGTACATAGATACATGAACCCATCAGCCAGCTTTATTACTATCTAAGTACTGTCTAGACCCTCAAACTTTACTAATACTTTATAAACAGTAAACAGTAAACAGCAAAAAGGTGCTTGTATTGGCTTTTTTTGTTAATTGCATATTCAGATCCCAATCACAATTAACCAACTCCAACCTATCACAAAATAAACAAACATCTATTTATCTACCGATAACTCTAGACTTCCCTCATCAGCATTTCCTTTTCCGCAGATCAAAATCCATATTATTCACTCCTTGGATAGACAATGCTTGCTTGTATATCATATCTCATACTATCGCGCCCCCCGCGGTTAACTTCAAAAAATATAACCCTGTTTCGCCACATCAAAGATCCACAGATCCCCGATTTCCGATTCAATTCTCGACGAATTATAATTCATCACATACTGTACGAAATACGGAGTAAGAACTAGTTAGTTAGTTGATCCGGATATTGAATAGAACCTTATCTATTCGTTCTATTTGAGTATGCGGATATGATATAATACGATACGACAGACATGACATTCACAAACACACCACACACAACACTGGATATTCTACTTAATAGTCTTCGCAAGAGTTTATGGATTGGATTGTATTACCATTTTCATCATTTCCCCATATTTCCCATACCACACCTACAATGCGAGCATCCACTCGGAAACCCTCAGCTACATATTCCGATACAAAATCATCGATCCACTATACCGGCTTCCATGATCCAAGAATATTTGGTGATCATATCACAATCGATATTGAAACCTTGTTTTTTGTGTTTATGTTTCTATTTATTCTACTTATTCGCCATTTGTTACACTTATTCATCTATATCCCAGGATTATTTCCTATGATCCTATTCCAGTATTCTATACAGAAGACTAGATTCCGGATTCCGATTGGCTATTTTTGGGACAAGGGGGAAACTTATGCACGCGTGCCTTTACCGGTATTTATTGTACTCAACCAAACTGTTACAATATGTGGCAAGGACATACCTGTTTTGAAAACTAGATCTACCTAGATCGTACCTAAGTATTCATTCACACTAACCTTTCTCATCATTCCCAAACTTTCTATACTTCAAATCACTTCTGTTTGATGACTTCCATATCCATCCTCGTAAAGGGGCAAGGTAAAAATGATATTCCCAACACACGCAGTTAGTGTAACCAACACCTGGACCTAGTGGACCACTATTCGAGAGCAATCAATCGAGAGGCAATACTCACAACCATGCTTCTAGATTATGTTATCGCCTTCATCAATAAAAGATAGTGGATAATAATCATGGCTGAGCATGAACTCAAGCTTGAGCTCAGACGATCAATTCTGGGTATTTCCCTCTAATGATATGACATGACATGATTCAAAGCTCCTCAACCTGTATATCTGGGACCTTTCTTTCTAGCATCCATTTATTTCATCATTTTTATATTCACCTATTTATCTATCATATCTGTCGTACTCCATCTGCAGACTTTCGAAGCCTGAAGTCACACCAATCCATTCACATTTCTACACAACATCTTTCTCTCAACATCTATACTGATATTCACATTTCCAATTCTCTCACCTACATATAACATAGCAAGCCAGTAACCAGGAAGAGATTTCCTACCATCAACCAAATCGACATATCTGACATATTTCTGCTGAATATCCATTTCATTACTGTTTTTTAACTTTCTTTTTCAAGAACCAGCCACATACATACATACAGTATACATATGCAACGGCTCGGAATCGGCACCCGTTACCCATACATATTATCATATATCCCCAAAAGTTTCCGGGTATGCAAGATAGCCATATGCACATAACGCCACTATCGGACATAACTGGTTCTGAGAATCGGTCTAGATCTTCGTTGGGAATTTCTCAAATGCGTTGTGGGAATGGGGTGGGAGGAGGTGGGGAGAATATAAATACGACGGTTCCGAGGGATGTAGAGGGAATACAGTTTCGATACCGGTTTCAAGATCAATCTCATTCACAATCTCAATCATCTTCACCTTTGTCTTCATCTTCGTCTTCAAAAGATTGCATAAGAAGTCAGGAATTCGGTTTATCATCACCATTATCCTCATTCATCACAAAAAACGGCAGCAATATGTTGGTCGTAGAATCTATCATTGTACTTGCTGTGGCTTGCATGATATGCATCCTCAGTTCTCGACGTAAAACACATACACGACGTCTTCAGCATGGGAGTTTTACAAAATCATCATCCTCATCATGCTCATCATCCAATACCACCAAATCCAAACTCCACAACCCATTCACGCACATATCCCAGCTCTTCTCCTGCAGCTCTCCCACCACCTCATCCAGTATCCTTTCCCCAACCAAACCAAATCTCACCCCCCAAAAACCCCCCTACGTCCTCCCCCCCCTCAAACCCACCTCCCCCCACTCCACCTCCATGGGCCTCAAACGCCTGGACCAATCCAACTGGCTCACCATCGACCCCACCTACCTCCCCGAGCACACACTCCGGGCCTCCTTACTCGACACGCAACGGCCATGCGTCCTCCAAGTGCTACCACCCGCCATCCCCGCCACCCACGAATTACTCGAGCTAGTTGTTGAATTCCTATTACAGCGGTATCCCACCGATTTCACACTCGTGCTACCTGATTTTTCAGCCGCCGATGGAAAACCCAGCGAGCCAAAAATCTTTAATAGACTCACTAACGAAACCCACATCATCGGACCCACATGTGCGCACCCGCTTGAAATCGCCGCGCGACTTTGCATGGAAGATTTTAACATCTTGCTGCGCGATCCCAGTGAAGGAGTCGATGCTGTGTGGAAATTACAAGCGTCGGCTACGCTGTTCCCGGCGGGCTGGAAATTGCAGGAGCGTATTGGATGTAGTATGGCAGTATTGCATGGACCGGTACCGGGGTGGAACGAGAAATTAGGAAAGAGTGTCGAGAGGTATTTTACGCATTTGGGAGTGAGGAGTTGTATGGAGAGGGCAAATCTTTTTGTGCAGAGGGGAGGGGGTTTATTTCAGGATGGGGGGGAGGAGAAGGTGGATAAGGATAAGGAAGGAGATGGGGAGGGGAAATTGTGTGTAAAGGATATTTATGTGAGGAGGGAGAGACAGACGTTTATGCGGTTGGAGAGGAGTGGGGCGGTGCTGTTTACGGTGAGGACTTATATGGAGAGGTTGGTGGATATGAAGGGGGAGGAGGCGGGGAATTTGGCGAGGCAGGTTAGGGGGTGGGGGGAGGAGGTTAAGGGGTATAAGGGGGTGGGGGTTTGGGGGGGGGTGGTGTTGGGGTGGTGTGATGGGGTGGGGGAGAGGGAGAGGGTGCGGGTGGGAGAAGAGGATAGGGAGAGAGAAAGGGAAGAGGAAATATTGAGAGGCTTGAGTCTAAGGAGGGATTCGGGAATTGACATGGGAGATGAGGAGGAGCGGGAGGGGGAGGGGGAGGAGGAAGAGGAATGTAAAAACAATAATTAATAAGGATACCGGTACTAGTTAATAACTCGGAAAACGCGCTGTGTTTATACATTTGGCATAGCATTACATCACATTGCATTATAATAACATAACATTACATTACATTACATTACATCATTACATTACATAACATAATCTTATACCATGATCTTATGAAATGGAAATGGGAATGGGAATGGGAATGGGGTTTGAATTTGTATCCAGATCTGTATCTAGATTTAGATCACGTCACGACCTGGGGTTTAGGGAAGGAAGGATATGTATACATGGCAACGAAAACAAAAACGAAAACGAAAACGAGAAGGAGAAGGAGAAGGAGAACAAAAACGGCCAGGCAAGGCAAGGCAAGGCAAACCAAGGCAAGATTCCAAAAGTGTATATTCAAAACGGGAGAGATGATTATTGAATATGAATGAATAAAAGGATAAATGAATAAATAGAAAGAATCTTGTATTAATAGTTGAGGAACAGAGTATACAAACTATTTTTAAAATCAAGATATACTTACTGGAGTACTCGTATACACAATCACCTTTTATTGATTTCTTCTTCATTTCGTAATAATCACTCAGGGAGAGAAAATGGGATGTGAGATATGAGATGTGGTTAAATTCCGATTCCTTTTCAAACACACAAAACGCCCATATCAATGATCCTTCCTCTATATAATAATACATACATCATCCGCCACTCTCACCACCTCTTTTGATCCCCATCACCACCCCCACCCCCACCTTCACCCGCACTAAAACTCTCCCCTCTCCTCTCCTTTTCCACCCTGGTATCAAACTCCTTTTGCGCCCTCGCCTGCGCCAAGTTCCTCTCCTCTTCTGTTTTCGAAAATGCAAAACTATCTGTATGAGCCACTTCATCACCCGATGTGTTGGATGCATTCCTTTGGACTCTTGCCCATCCTGATGATTGTGATGAAGGGGTATTAGAAGTAGAAGCGGGTTTTTCTCCACGGCGGATTCGATCCCATGCTGAGCCAGATGAAGAGGGAGATGTTGTGTTGGTATTCATTCCCTGCTCCCCGGTAGGTGATGCATCATCGAACACACTGAAGGATTTTTCCTCTTGTGCCGGAGCTTGTGATGAGGTTTGCGCTGATGTTTGTTGTTTCTGTGGCCAACTATTTGTCGGTGGAAAGGTTTGAGGAGTCGTCTGGGAAGCCCCTGGTGTATTATCTTCTCCATACCACTCGGCACCACTAGTCGGACTAGCATCATCGTATTCCTGCTTATTCTGAGTTTGCGATTGTCCTTGTCCCGGCTTCATAGGTGGCCTTGGAAGTCCTGCCGGACTAGGTAGATTTTTGTGCAATTTGTTAAATTGTTCCATTGTAGCCGCTGTAATATCCTTTAACCGCGGGTCGCTCCTGTATCTCTGAGCCGTCATACCAGCTGCGTACACCCCGAAGATTGCTTTTGATAAAGATTGTCCTATATAAGAGTACCATAACCCTCTGAATACATGCCAGGCGATGACTGCCGACCCCCCCTTGATATAAGGCATTCTTGCATGGGGAAAGATGCTTGAATTGAAAGTCTTGAGATTTGGTTGATAGAAAGGAAATCGAAATGTGGGGGCGGTTTGAATTGCTCTGTATATGCCCGTAGATAAACCTGCGAGAGGAGCGTATGAATTGATTTGTAGTACTTTCGCATCATAATATGCAATGGCGTCGACTTCTTCTTGTCTGAGTGGACGTTTGATGATGTTCGTTGCAGCGTTGATCCGGGCACTGGTAACTCTGACCAAGCGTTCTTGATTGTAGCCGAAGAGAGGACCGAATATCGGCATACTTTGAGGTAGTTTGTCGCTCTCGATACGGTATGAGAGGACACTATTACCTTGGTTTTGGTCTTGGCCTTGCTCCGAAGTTGCATACGGATCGTTGTCGGAGGTAGGGATGGAGTCGAATGATTCGTCTGCCTGTTTGGAAGAGGAGTTTTCGAGAACCATATTGGCGAGGATATCGATACAACGAGGTATGTGAGAAGTTTAAGAATTCGGTGAGGGTGATTGCAGATGTGGCACTTTATTTGTTGTGATACAGCCGCACAACAGCTCTTGGAAGCGCGAATGAAGCTTGGATGGTTGTGACGTCTTTCGATTTTGCGGGCAAGATTTAAGTGGGTGTGGCTTTATCAAATTTGCGGCGGGGTTCAGTGTAGTAAGCGACGTAGGTAGGGGAGGGGTAGGCGAGCTTGGCGAGGTTCAACCGCAGAGTTGATTATTCTGTTTCTGGCCTCTTGCGCATTTCATCATACAAATCAATCATTTAAGTTATTCGGATGTTGTGGATGCTTTATGGTTCATACTTCATGCTTCACTATATTCTCATCAGTACTTCCAAACAATGAATGGACCAGTCAGTCCACTCACATATTTGCTGGTGAAGACTCTTCCTTTGTATTATGCTTCATCAACGTGATAAATCTATCATATTATCATACAATCAGAACCAAAAGGTGTGTCCCAACCTTGGTTCCGGATACCCAGGCAGGATCAAACAATAAGAGTGTAGCCTGGTTTACACCACAGGATTAGTATCCTTCACACTCACATGAAAAACATTTTTGTGAGCTTCAATCTTGATCAACAAGTGGCACAGTATCCTTTTGTGGTGATTCACGGTCTTTGCAGCTCAAGCTTCTCGTTAAGTTGCAGTAGCATCATTTGGCGCAAGTCTGGGTGGACCACAATCTTTTACCACAGTATCGAGTTATCTAATTATCGTGCCTCGATCGCAAGGTTCTGAAGCTATCTACGGAGGTATTTTGGGCCTCGCTCAGGATAGGTGCCCAGATAAGCCACCATTTACACCACATCATCTTATTTATTGGAACATTTCATACTCGATGTCGTGAAACACCGCGACAATATAGTTGACCATTCTTTTGTCTTCTATCGCATGCAAGAAAGTGTTGAAGATGCAATACTCAATTCTTGGCATGCCTTTCAAACGAGACGAAATCCTTTCGAGTCTCGAGTCCTTTGAACTTGAGAGACGTGATGGTTTGCAAGGGATTGGCCAATTGCTGTCACTTTACCTGTTATCTGACTGGTCTACAAAAACTTTGGTCATATTGTCACCCAATTTCCACCGCATTAGGCCATTCATAAGTGGAATGCATCAACATTACCTCTCAAGTCAAAACGTGAAGTCTGACGCCGAGAAGTAATGTTACTATGCACTCAATTCCAAAGAAAGAATAGCATCATGTGAATAGTCGCATATGCCGCCGTTCGAATGTGGAAAGAAAGAGCAAGAAGGAAAAAGATGACAAGGAAAAGATCAGGAAAAGGGTTTCAAACCCGTCATCTCCACATACTAGCACTTCCTGCCTCACTATGTCCTCTCCGGTTTCTTCTGTCCGACATAATTGAAGCCGGCCACGAGAGGCAAAAAGGATGTCCTTTACGGCGAGTGCAGCTTTGGCATACGATTCCACTTTGCTTACTGGCCGTCATTAACGTGTCACTCATCATTGTTATGGGGGTACAGACAGAGGGTGGTTGTTGAGATGATGGGATCAGATTTGGAGTTGGGGCCATATGTGGAGAGGGAGAGTGTTGCGAATACAGATGGTGAAAAGTAGGACTGTAGGATCAGATGGGTTTTGCGAAATGCCGGATGAGACTACTTTCGCCTGCGGAATGAAACGAAACGATTGATATCCCGCGGGCTTGCCAACTCAAGCAGATAACGTTCACGATGCGAGTGGAGATATCCAACCACTCTTTCTGGTATTTAGCTTGAGCTATGCAAACTTTTGTGTACGGGGATCTAGGGTACTACACCTAGATGACACTCCTCTTGATAGAATGTCCGAGAGTTGGAAGCGACAAATGTAAGATATAATATGTCATGACCCTATTCCCGGCCGATCAATATTGCTCGACGATATCATGTACGAACCGAGATGATGAGAGGTAGCTTCCCAAGAGTTGATGTTTTACGGTCGATTGAATGGGATAGGATATGATACAGGGAATCCTGGGAGGCTGACTGTTTCCGATACCCTGCTTGCGTATCATTTATGTATGTTTGTGGCGAGCGCTTTATTGCATCACGTTGTAACTAATGAGTGGGCGGACATCTCTTTTCATGCGATATTGATGAATTACTTCACTTTCTCCATGTGTCTTTGAGCGACTATGTATGTTGGCGGTAAAGATTATTGAAAGCCTGGACATCAATCCTGAGACCAGAGGTCTTGTCCTCTTTAATCGCATATGGTGTTCGTTGTGTGTGATGGCACCGGTATTATCTTTGCGTTATGGGAAAATGTATTCTTATATACCATAAGCCGGAGAGTCAATTTGTTGGCATTTTATGTCCTCACTCTGTTGCTGTTTGCGTCCTTTTTATCCATCTTACATATCTCTTGGCCCATAGACCAAGGGCTCTTATTTCTCTCATGTAAATCGTTTGCTCTTCTCCAAACCAATTCGTCTCATGGTAAGCGACGTTGCTTTCTTCAGGCATGATAGGATGGAAGTGGTAGCTTGGATTTAAAGGAGAGAAAGAAAGTGGTTATCAGTGTAAAGTTTTCTTACTTCACGTCTCTTTTAGAGTGCACATACTGAACATTAAAATAAACCCTACATTGCTTCTGTGAATATTATTGCCACAAGTTTTGTCATAAAGACCTAAACAGTTCCCGTACATATCGTCTAAGTGAGGAGGTCGAGTAGTACTTCGATGTTAATCAATTTATTTCATTATCAAAAAACAACTATATATATAAAACACAGTGGCATCATATCTAAGCATTCCATTCCAGTTCACGCACTTTTTATCCGGTACCTTGGCCATGGTCCAGCCTAATAGTCTATTCCATTGACTTCTCGTACCTAGACTCTATTAATTATCATGGACATTTTTCACTTCCTTCGAATAATTACACGTACTTTGTTTGATCTGGACAGAATGACAACTTATAGTGTTTTGCCTCAGGAGCGGGAGATGTATATCTGCCTGACAATGCCTACCAGCTGGTACCAGCTGATCTAAATCAGAATAACGTGTTGGCTAGAGGTTAAATTGCTAATATCAAGCTTTGCCCTCTTGTAGACTTTCATATACTTTTACAAACTAAGTGTCCCTATCCCATAAAAACCTTGACAAACTTAACTTAAGTGGCAGGGAACAAGACTGAATCATTTATCTATGCCAACACTTTGTGCGAAGCAGGTTAACTTGAGGTTAAGGATGGCTACCAAAGATAAATGGAATCCTCTCGTCTCCACTTATTATTCACTCAGCGCAACTGAATATCTCTAGCTCAAAGGTCCTCATTTTGCCACAAATGAGGATATATAAATCTAACCTTGCGCGCCTATTCACATTTTTATACATACTCAATGCAAATCTGGTTTTGGATATGTGAATGGTGTAAGCAGTTCCGGCGGTTGTTTGAAAAGCGTAGTGGTAGGTATGAATGATGCTAGATCATGATAAGATCCTCCAAAATACGAGAGTAGGTTTTGTTGTGCGAATCTTTGCTCGCATTGTCACTACTGATGCTCTTTTTACTTTGTTGTTATATTTGACAAATGTTGGCGGGATATCCGTGAAGGAATTCAATTTTTTAACAGCTTTGGCTTAGAGAGGATAAGATTAAATGGTTACTTGGGGGGAAATATGAGGTAGACCTATTTTTCACGCCCAAGAATCACAACCACTTATTTGGCTGCAAATGTCTCTTGATTGAAGTTGCTTCTTGGGAGATGATGCTGGATTAGTAGACACTTACATACAGTACATACCTATGTATTAGTTTCTTGAACTCCAACAACCTTTAGTCACGTCACAAATCTCATCTGATATGGATTCACTGGGATAATATGCGGGGTCGGCAAACCATAGTATACTCTTTTATTCTTCAAGTGAATCATATCCACTCAGACGGATATCGGAAATCTGAGCTTGAAAGCATAATAGGAGGCTACTTGTGAACTCGTATGCTTTGTAAATCTTCCGATTTCGCATTCCATTGCGGTCTGGAGACTCGGAGTGGCAAAATCAAAGAGTTTTTGGAGAAATTAATTTCACTTGATAATAGCTTGATAAACAATTGCAAAGATCGTTTAAAACTTGTTGAACAGATAGTTGTAATAATCAACCTCAAACTCTGCCAGTTAGTTTGATGATACTTGGAGGATGCGAGAGAGAATTATGGAGGATGTTTAAACTTGAAGGTGTTCGCGGTCACTTGTCACTGTAACTTGGCAATTAAACGAACTACTGCTGTCTGATTTACCAATTTTTGTCGTTTATTTTTCTTTATTATCGATTTAGAAAATAACAAGGCCTTGCCTGCCCCCTTACCATGGGAATTTCGATTCCAAATTTGACCCCATCTGAAACTCCAGCAACCAACAAAAGGTCTTAGTGTCGAGTTCTTGACGATCTGATGCCCGAATTGAGTATTATAGACTTGGAGGAGGGGGGGCGGTAAAATATGGGCTGTTGACCAAAGTCTTGTCTATTTCTCGAGGTAAACGAGACCGGGTGTAGCTGTCAAATATTATCAATGAGGAAATTCTCCTTTGTTATCGTGACACATATGAGTAGTGGAGGGTGCAATCTTATATTGGACAAAATGATGAGAGAAATATGGTGGTGTCAAGTGAATAGCCAATAATTCAGTGAAAGCATGAATGTATATGGGCGACCTTGTGGAGAAAGCGCTTAGCATCAACTAGCAAGAAACCTTCCTGGTAGGCGTTTTCAAGTATAATGTTAGTGAAAGTGTTCATGTAGCCAAGTGAATTCACTGATAGAAAAGACTTAAGTCAACGTAGTTCTCACACAGGTATTGGGATGATGACAGTACATCTGTCAAACGATAACCGTATCCGTATTTATTCTGTTCTCTGAGTATGAGAAGTAATAATTGGTGACCTTCTTGGTGAGTCAAATTTCCCGTTGAACTTTCTTCAAAATATAGGCC